TTAACATTTTTTGTAAGTCTATGAGTATTATTTACTCTTTAATTCAAAATAACAAAAATATTTTTGAAAAAAATTAAATAAATTTATGACTGAAGACATCACAATTTTAATAATATAAATTTTAATGTCTGATTTAGAAGAAGAATAAGAAACAAACATCGATAATAAAGCCTCATTAATAATAACAAAAGGACTTCTATGTTAAGTAATTGTAAGCTCACGATAAAGCAGATTCATAAACTCCTTTGTTAGAGGTTTTCTAAGGACCTAAAGGGAGTGAACTTTGATAAAATCATTCGTGAAACACTATACTGGATAGAAAATATAGAAATTAGTGGGTCCAGTAACAGTTTGTTCGAATAAATAACATGGAGTGACATTTATTGAATTTCTAAGTGATAGAGAAAAAAAAATATATTATCTATTATATAATTAATAAAAGTTTATCAATGCAGTGAGTGATTCAGCATTAATATTGATTGATGCTAGTATAGGATTTGAGATGGAAAAATTTGAGTAATTAAGTTTATTGAATAATCATTGTTTTCAAAATATAATGGGTGTTTTTAACACATATAGATTTCTTTAAAGATAATAATCAATTAAGAAAGACAAGAAAAAATTATAAGAAGAGATTCGAATATAAAACTGGGGGAAATTATAAATTGTTTTATTTATAAACATTGATTAATGAGTATTATTTGAAATAGGATATTCATATTTTAGCAAGATTTATATCATGGATTAAGATTGCTTCAATGAGATGGAAAACAGAACATTCATTTATATAGGCAGATCGTTATGAATAATGTAAAGATAATACAACAACATTTTATGGATATTCTAGAGGATGCACATATAGATTAAATGATAGAATTCATTTTGTAGGTTAAGGAGATTATTAAATAAAAAGTTATGAAAAAGTTTTAGATGCTATTGAGATCATTAACAACTTAAAAAAAAACATAGATCATTAAAAGATACTGAAAAATTTGTATCTACTCCTATGTCTAGTATTGTCTCATTAACTATTGATGCTACAGCAAGATATATTACAATTCCTTAACCTATATTTATATAAAAGAATAAATTTGTTAATCATGATGAAAAAGAACAAGGAGAATAAGTAGAATAAGAATTGCCTGAAGATGTTTGGATGGTCAGATAATTATAATAATTGACTGAAGGAATTGATAAATAATTATAGGAAGAGGAAGATGTTTAATTATTGGATGGATTTGAATTGGTAGAAGAGAAACCAATAAAAAAGCATAATAATCATTAATAATAGATCTAATAATAAAGAGAATTAATTAGGCTAAAGAATAGAGTTAATATTAAAATAGAAAATGGAACTGTTATGCCCATTTCAGATACACTATTGGCTACTGATTTACATAAATTGATATATTTAAATAAGAATGGTATTAATGAATATGATAATGTAAGATACATACCTAAAATTTAAGAAAGAGATTCATATAAAGAGATCAAGGAGTTATTTGTAGCAGGATATCGCGGATGAGAGATGTTGTGGATCTAGAAAATTTATAAAAAATAGATTGAAGAAGAAGAAGAATAGAATAAATAGAATTAAGATTAAAAGGAGAATTAATAAAATAAATAATAGTTAGTTAATGAATTAACATCTTTTAATCTTGGATTATATAAGAAAGGAATTTATGTTAAAAAAATTGTGATTAAAGATTTTACTTAATAAATTAGAAATGATTACCCAATGATACTTGTAAGATCTGAAGTAGGAGAAGATAATTTAGGATTTATTAAAGCAAAATATATCTTTATGATTATTAGATTAGAATAAAAAAACATAGATGGCATAGTAATGTTTTAAAATCAAATGATCCCATCATTATATCTCTTGGATGGAAAAGGTTTTAAACAATTTCTATATATTGTGTCCAAGATCCTCATGACAGATTGCGATTTATTAAATATACTCCAGAATATAAATATTGTTATGCTATATTTTTTGCTAATTGTGCCTTAAGGTATTGGATTAGTTTGTACTTAATCTTTAAGCAATAAATTAGTATGGATTTATTATTTATATTTCGTAGTCTAAATTTAGAATTGCTGCAACAGGTATTGTCTTAGTAATGAATCATTAATTTGATATTATGAAAAAGTTAAAGTTAGTTGGAGAACCATTCAAGGTTATAAAGAATACTGAGTTTATTAAAGGAATTTTTAATTCTTCTCTTGAAGTGGGCAAATTATCAGGTGGTCTAATTAAAACTGCCTCTGGTTTAAGAGGACACATTAAAAAACCAAGTAAATTAGGTCCAGATGGTAGTTTAAGAGCAAGTTTTGAAGACAAGATTTAAATGAGTGATTAAGTATTTTGCAGAACTTGGGTTGGGTTAGAATGCATGTTGAGAGATTTTATAGACTCATAACAATTAAACAAAATTAATGAAAACTATGTGGGAATTAAGATAGGAGAGACAAATATTAAGATCAAGAGAGTTCCTGTTAAATTTGCTCCTCTTAGAATACCTAATAATTTCTAGTAAAATTTACCTTTTGAAAGTAAAGAGAAGGTATTTCGCATAGTAAAATATTTTTTAGGTTAAATCTCTTTTATTTAGAGAGAAATTAAGATAATTTACCTGTCAACAATAATAAGACTGATAATGAAAAAGAAGTTTATTCGTTTATTTAGCGTTTAAATACTATTAAGAATGAAAAAGAGAAGAAAAGGATGTACAAAAGCAAAAGATTAAGGATGTTTAATTTAAAGGTTAAAAGTAAAATTTAGAAGAGGGCAAGAGGAAGTATAAGCTATAAAAATAGAAAGAAAAATTTATATTAAAAAAATAATAATAATAGTAATGAAATTATGTGTGTATATTAAATATATAATTAAATGAATTACGGTTCTCCTAAGCTTTCATCAAATACAATTGATGTCTTAGATGAAACATTGTCTCCTCAAAAATCTTTAAAACCTTATACAAAAGAGAAAAGGAGTATCAGTACAAAGATGAAGGAATTCAATTATGATAATTAATTTTTTGATAGGGTAGGTAATAAGATCAGATTATATCTTTAAAAGAATCATCTGAATTATGAAAAGATTCTCATAAAGCTCTATAAATTGGACTCTCTTAAAAGTGATAAAGCAAAAAGATTGTTAGTTTAAACAAAAAATTACAA